TTGATTTTGCGCGACTTGGTTATTCTATGGATCTTGCCAGATAGATCGTCCGTCGCTGCTTTTATGTTAAGCTGCCCGTTGCTTTCGCTTCGCATTGATAGTCGTTGAATCAACATGTTCCCTCAGAGAGTCTTAGCCTTTCTTCATATGGAGAGATTCAGAAGATTATTTGCCACCATCGCAGAGTACTTATCTATCTTTTTTTCTTTTATGTTCTTTCTTCTTGGCATGGTTATCATGTCTCTACACAACTGAGGCCCGTAGACGTATTGGAATGGCCAAGGACGCATTCCAAAAGCTGGGCTGTGTATTGTGAGACAGGAAGATTTCTTTGGTAACAAAGAAAAGTATACTGAGCTGTTACATGATATCTGCCCTTCTTTAAGGGAGGGAATGCTGGACGATTTCCTCAAGGATGAAGAAGAGACTCGAGGCGACGGAAATGTGGTTCTACATAAGGATGCTTAGGATTTCGTGGACCGAGCGGGTGAGCAACGATAAGGTCTTCGATAGGATGCAGATAAGGCGGAGGCTCGTGCTTATTATAAGAAAAAGGCAGCTGAATTTTATGGGGCACATAATGAGGAAGCAGGACCCTAAGAATCTGATAATCAGGAGTCGAGCAGAGGGAAAGAGAGACAAAGGAAAGCAGCGCGTGACATTCATGGCGGGCCTGGGCAGGAGAATGACAGAACGTGGTATTGGAGAGATAGCAGAGGGTAGGAAATTGTTGAGAGCTGCAAGGGATAGAGTGAGGTGGAGAGACATGATCTGCTAGGTCTTGGAAACACATAAAAAAGAAGGTGTTATTTGACAAATTGCAATGATTTTTCATTGCTGCCAAGTGCTGTATTATAAACATTAGCCAGACTCCAATCTCCGCCACTTGGAGATTTCATTTAATCCTATAATATGCTGTTTTTATTTCCCATTTCAACATAAATGACCTTCCAAAACATTTCACGAATTGCACGCTTATACTCATCTGCGTGAAAACAATGCTAAGAGTTCAGTTGGATTTATAAATCTATTATTACGTTGGCGATTGAAGTCACATTTCTTACATGGTCTCTGGCGTTCAACCTGTTGAAACTTCTTCGTTACTCACATGTTCAGTCCATGGTATTCTCATCATCCTTCTGTAGAAGATCATCTTTGTTGTTTTAAGTCTCCTCTTCGTCTGTGAGAAAACAGTTTCAGGATTCATTGCGACATACGATGACCGATATTTTATAGCATCTCAGCAAGCTTTTCTTTCGACCGAAATTTTCCTCTACCATAATAATTTGTTTAGGTTTTAGAAGTCGTCTTTCGCTATTGTATTAAAAACATTCATTACAAAGTTAGTGGTTAGTACCACTAGATAATAGTTATTTTTCAATTCGCCCACTAAGAAAGAATAACATAGTGGTCACAAATTTACTTAAACATTACTAACCGACTACACTTGTTAAACACGATATATGAACAGCTTTGCGTGATTTCTGTTATTATATCTGTCTGTTGATTTTTCCTGTACAGTAAAGCGATACTGAAGGAGTTAGTAGTCATACAAGGGCTATTGTCTGTCACAGCCATAACAACATAACATATACAGATGACATATTATTAACAGCAATCAAAAACTGTCCTGGGTATGACGATAAACTACATCCGCATCCTGGGTAAGAAGATAAACAACATCCGACAGCAAGGCTTTTGATAAGAACGTTTTGAGGAGCGTGGAAGCACCTCTTAATTGCTGGTGTTTCCAGGTCTATCCTAACCCGGTGTGGTAGGACCTGTTAGGGTTCTAGCTATGGAAAAATAGTTACCCCACCAAGTAGTGTTCAAAACGTGTAAAAAAAAGTTTTATTGCCAGAAATATATTTTTGTGAAAAATTATTACCAGCAATAAATCAAAAAAAAAAATCACAAGCAATTTTTTGAAAAAAAAATACCAGCAGTAGTCTTGAAAAAAAGAAATATTACCAGAAATAATTTTTTGAAAAAAATATTACCAGCGATAAGGCATTGAGGTTGGTATGGCGTAAAAAAAAATTAAAAACAAACGTGGATGATAACAGGCTGGCTTTTCACCATTCAGTTGCCATTTCTTAATAAATTTTCTGATCAACATACTTATATTCAATTGTTCTTCTCATGTAAAAATATATTAGCAGCAATACATTTTTGAAAAAAATATTACAAGCAATAAAAAATCCATTGAGGTTGATATGCAATAGAACAAACCAAACCAAACCTGAATTATAACAGGCAGGCTTTTCATCATTCAGTTGCCATATTTTAATTTTTTTTATCAAGATACTTATATTTAATTGTTCTTGTCTTGTAAAAATATATTAGCAGCAATACATTTTTGAAAAAATTTCATTAACAATAAAAAAAATGTTGTCGGTATTAAATAACCAATTGAAGTTGATAGTGATTTTCCAAGCGTAGCTTAGATATGGCACAAGGCCGAAAGTATGGGGTGCCCAGTGAGGACCGAAGTCACGACTCAGTTGTAATTGTTCTAGCGAGACAAGCTTGCTAACCATTACACCACGCCGAGGTGCCCCCCACCCCCATTGAGGTTGATATGCCGTAAAACAAAACAAAACCAAACCAAACCTAAATGATAACAGACAGGCTTTTCACCATTCAGTTGCCAGATCTTAATAAATTTTGTGATCAAAATACTTATATTCAATTCTTCTTCTCTTGTAAAAAATATATTAGCAGCAATACATTTTTGAAAAAATATTACGAGCAATAAAAATCTTGTCGGCATTAAATAACCCATTCAGGTTGATATGCCGTAAAACAAACCAAACCAAACCACACCTGAATGATAACAGGCAGGTATTTCACCATTCAGTTGCCATTTCTTAATAACTTTTGTGAGCAAGATATTTATATTCAATTGTTCTTTTTTTGGAAAAATATATTATCAGCAATATATTTTTGAAAAAAAATATTACGAACAATAAGAATCTTGTCGACATTAAATAACCCATTGAGGTTTTGCTTTGCCGTAAAACAAATCATACAGAGACACTGTTCTTGACTTCTTTCTTTCTTTTCCTTTTTTTTATTTTTTCTTTCGTCCTTTCCTTTGTTTTCTTTTTTATTTTTGTTTTTGCCTTCATTCTTTCCTTTCTTATTTTATATTTCTTTTTACTTTTTAAAATTCTTCTTTATTTATATATTCATCTCTTCTTTCATATTTTATTTTTCCATCTTTTTTTCTTTCGATATTTCTTGCCTTCTTTCTTTCACTTCGTTTTTTTCATCTTTTTTTTCTTTCTTCCTTTCATTTCCATTTTATTTTTTGTTCTTCTCTTGTAAAAATATTTTAGCAACAATTCATTTTTGAAAAAAGAATATTACCAACCATAAAAATCTTGCCGTTTTTAAATAACCCATTAAGGTGTTGATATGCCATAAAATTAACCAGACCAAACAGATACAAAAAGGAAACAAGAACTCTTACGGAGGGTAAAGAAGTAAAAAGAAAAGAAAAAATAAATATCAATTGTAGGAAGATGGAATTCATAATTGTCATTTAAAGGAATGACTCAACATGCAAATTACAAATTGGAAAGACCAATAGCCAGCAAGTATAAACATTTAAATATTCGGGAGTAAAAAAAAATCATAAGACGTATTGTAAGAGCAAAATGCTAATAGATAAGCAAAATATTAAGAAAACAAAAAAAAATCGTTTGAAACAAAGAAAAGGGTAATTAACTGATATTTAATATCGGTTCTTCCAGATGACAGTGAATGCTGAACAATCTCCTCACAGATGAAGAAGAAATTGGAGGCAAGAGAAACAAAGAGAAGAGTGCTGGACTGTTATGTAATATCAGTTTTCCTATATGGAAGTGGATGCTGCACAATTTTCTTACAGATGAAGAAGAGATACGAGGCAACAGAAACAAAAATAGGAGTTCTGGATTGTTATGTAATATCAGTCCTTCTATATAGCAGTGAATGCTAGACAATCTCCTCACAGAAGAAGAGATTTGAGGCAACAGAAACAAAGAAAAGAGTGCTAAACTATTATGTAATATCAGTCTTCCTATATGGCAGTGAATGCTGGACAATCTCCTCACAGATGAAGAAGAGATTTGAGGCAACACAAACAATGAGAAGACTGCTGAACTCTTATGTAATATCAGTTCTCCTTTATGGAAGTGGATACTGGACAATCTCCTCACAGATGAAGAAGAAATTGGAGGCAACAAAAACAAAGACAAGAGTGCTAAACTATTATGTAATATCAGTTTTCCTATATGGAAGTGAATGCTGAAAATCTCACAGATGAAGAAGAGATTTGAGGCAACAGAAACAAAGAGAAAAGTGCAGGACTTTTATGTAATATCACTCCTCCTATATGGCAATGAATGTCGGTCAATCTACTCGCAGACGAAGAAAATATTTGAAGCAGTATATATGCATTGCTGCAAAAGGATGCTGAAAATACCATGATCTGAATATTTGAACACCGGTAAAGTCTTAGAAGGGAAACAAAAAGGTCAATTATACTTAATACAAGAAAGAGACAGCCGAAATTTCAAATGATGAGAAAAGAAGGCTTGAAAAATTTAATACTACCAGGACATTTTGAATGCATGAGGGGGGGGAGAAAAATGACGCATGACCTTCCTAACAGGCTTGTGTAAAATGAACGAAGAACAGAGTTCAGTAGAGACTGCAAAAAGACAGGGAGTTGTGGAGAGATATGATCGCCAAAAACCTGAAACAATACAGTACATAGAAGAAAAGAAGATTCGTTAGACAAATATTACAAAATTGTCCCAACTTTTAGATATTAAAAAAGTACTGGTGGAATAAAATTTAAATATTTATTTGTAAGACACGTATTACATATCCGGAAATAAATGTGATTTTGTGGTCAGAAATGACTTTAAATGTTAATGTGAGAATACAACTCAGGTTTACCATTAAAACGTATTGAAAATTCATGATGCGTAAGTTAACGAAATTGTTACGAAGATAATAGATAGATAGATAGATAGATAGATAGATAGATAGATAGATAGATAGATAGAAGAAGATTCAGATAGATAGATAGATAGATAGATAGATAGATAGATAGATAGATAGATAGATAGATAGATAGATAATGAACAGATTCAGATAGATAGATAGATAGATAGATAGATAGATAGATAGATAGATAGATAGATAGATAGATAATGAAAAGTTTGGGATAAATAGTTATATAATAAACAGACTGAGATAGATAGATAATGAACAGATTGAAATAAATAGATATAGAATAAACAGAGATAGATAGATAGATAGATAGATAGATAGATAGATAGATAGATAGATAGATAGATATGACCAGAATTATTTATTTAAATAGATAGATAGATAGATAGATAGATAGATAGATAGATAGATAGATAGATAGATATGACCAGAATTATTTATTTAAATAGATAGATAGATAGATAGATAGATAGATAGATAGATAGATAGATAGATAGATAGATAGATGGAAACAATGTCCAGCATTACAAATATGACGTGTTACGAAAGCGAAATGCCAACCACAACATTACATTTCCAGTGTACGATGTTCAGAAAATTCCCCATGGATTCTTGTCGGAAAAATCAAATTCCTTCCAAGTCCATTCTCTTCTCCAGCAGGGAGAATTCCGAACAATGTTTTCAGCTTGATTGGAATGTGATCACTTAAAGTTGAATCTGATGGAAAAGAAACAGAAAAAAAAAAAAAGAAATGAAATGACTTGTCAGATCTCGGCTGCCGCGTCGACAGCAGCCGAAGTAGCTGATAACAAAAATGAAACCGCGGCTGTCGATTCTTTGGATGCTAACAAAGACAGGGACATTCGTCTTCCTTTGTAAAAACAGTGAGGGCAACAAAACCCAATAAAAATAAATATCTTAATGACTTTTGACCTTGTCTCGAGTTGTAATCACCTGAAATCGCCATTTTCTATTTTGGCGGGAAAACATCAAGGATTCTTTAATGACATGAAAGAATTAAACAGTTTTATTCGATTTATTTATTTATTTTTTAACTCCACTGTGTATTTTCATTCTATTCAACATCAGGAATTAAGAGAATTTATCGATTTAACCATTGATCGATGTCCGGAGGCTCAATTTTCATGTTTGAGTTAGCTATTTGGCCTAAACGAATTTGTAGAAATCTTTTGCGTTGCCGCTGACAGTAAAGGCAAAAGCCAAAACGAGCAGATGTTTTGCAAAGAACTCTAAACGTAATTAAAGCTTCCTAAAACCCGTCATAACAAGTCGGTTAACACGTTTAGCGCAGTTGAATGCGAGACTTGTGAGGAGAAGGCACTGAATTGCTCTTAAAATGCGAGTTTGATGAGTGAGAAAACCGCAATACAGTTTCTTTAAAAGGTCGCTATCTGCGTCTGGAGATGAGGTTATTACACAATATATCCAATGCTAAATTTGGAAATTGGTTAAGAGGATTTTTATAGTGATGTACAAGGCTGTAAATATGGAGCACTCTTTGAGTGGAGAACTCACTACTCTATCGTAATTGATCTAGCGAGACAAGTTTGGTAATCATTACACCCAATCGAAGTGTCCTAAATGATTTTTTTATGGTCAGATATAGCACAGACAGTGAGGATCGAACTCACTACTCATTTGTAGTTGATCTAGCAAGACAAGTTTTCTAGCCATTACACCACGTGATTAAACGATAATCATATACTAAGCCTAGCTTAGATTTGGTAAAAGATCGAACCTATGTAGTATCTGGTTAGGTTCGTACTCACTACTCAATCATAATTGATCTAACGAGGCTAGTTTGCTTCTCTATTTACATTATTTGAACTATTGTCCACATCTTTGTCGCCATATTTATTGTAACGTTTCGACCGTTGTACGCTCCGGCCTTCTTCAGGTGGTTGGAATGTCGACATGAACCATATTTCTCTCACTGGTGTAGACTGTTCTATTTCCTCGTGCCATGTTTAATGGGTGTCAGTTATCAGTTATTTTCTGTCAATTGCCATGTCCTCAAGGACACATGGCACAGTGGAGAAAGGCGTTAGTTAGATCCAGTGACAGGACCCAACGAGTGTTAGTTCAATACCCGGTTAAGGCAGTGCAGAACTTTCAGAGGTGAGTTAACATGAGATAACTGACATCCATTAAACATGGCACGTGGAACTAGAACAGTCTACCCAGTGAGCGAAATAAAGGGTTCAGTTTGACATTCCAACCACCTGAAGAAGGCCGGAGCGTACAATGGCAGAAACGTTGTAATAAATATGGCGCCAAAGATGAGGAAAATAGTCCGAATAATGTAAATAGTGTACATAATACCTCATCTCAGAAATATAGACAGATACTGAAGTTTGCTTCTAATTAGATAACATTGAAGTGCTCAGTGGATATTTAATTCATTTTTTCCTTTGTCTCAGCCGATGCTGGTGAAAAAAATTGAAATGTATTTTCATAAAATTCATATAAAATTTGTAACATTTAAGACTTAATGGAATAATTGACATACAAAATTTAGAAAATATAATTTTGCATGTACGCCAAACATTTGACACTTTAATTTCCGAAATGGCCCTGTGAAAGCAGTTTGTTCTATCTCCTCTTGCATGATGTGCGACTCGTGTATGCATAGATTAGCGGTCGGCAAAACCCGGCCCCCTTGCCACATCCGGCCCGCGAAGTATTTTTGTCCGGCCCGCCAACTTTAACACCTGGACACAAATTATATAATTAATTTGTGGAGCAGGTGGCTAAAACATATCACTTAATGTTAATCAACTTACAATACGACGAATTTTTAAAATCAAAATGTAATTGATAATCCACTGTTGACTTCTACAAGAAATATGTTTTGCCAAGCGGTAAATATAGAATCCTACAATGTATTAATGAAATGAAATATACTCAGTCTACATTTTCATCTGTTTTTTTATGTTTAGGGCTGCCCACAACCTCTGAGGTCGGGTAGATCTTCTTGACCTTCTTGAACCGCATGTACCACTCAAAACAGTTTTTTATACCCTGTTTAGTATAAGAAATTTGTAATCGGGCTCAGCTTTTGTATCTGTCTATATTTTTGAGATGAGGTATTATGTACACTATTTACATTATTCGGACTATTGTCCTCATCTTTGTCGCCATATTTATTACAACGTTTCGGCCTTTCAGTATCTATCTATATTTCTGAGATGAGGTATTATGTACACTATTTACTTTATTCGGACTATTTCCCTCATCTTTGTTGCCATATTTATTACAACTTTTCGGCCGTTGTACGCTCCGGCCTTCTTCAGTCGGTTTGAATGTCGAACTGAACCCTTTATTTCGCTCACTGGGTAGACTTTTCTAGTTCCACGTGCCATGTATAATGTATATCAGTTATCTCCTGTTAATTTCCCTCTGAAAGTTCTCCACTGCCTTAACCAGGTATTGAACTCACACTCTTTGGGCCCTGTCACTGAATCTAACCAATGCCTTAATCCACTTTGCCATGCGGCCTTGAGGACATCTGTGTATGGATTTCTGGGTATTATAAACCTAATACCTTCAGCAACCATTTTTATCAGTGCTCATAATTGCTGCTATCATTTAATGTTTTTGCCAGAGCTCATATTGAAATCTTTGTTTTTCTCTGGCACTCTTTATTACTGGTTCCTATATTGTATTCATTTCTATGCTTGGTCGGCTCAGGAGATTTTTGTGGCCTAGCATATGTGCTGATTCCTTAAGTTTACGAAGTTTCCAATGGTGTTCTTTGTCTATGATCTCAACCTGATCCCCACAGAGGGCGGTGATCTCCCTTTTTCTCTCCATATGTGGTCAGCCACGCCTGATTTTTCCACTTCCCCTCGTGTTACAGCTTTCTGGTGTTCTTGAAGCCTTACGTTAAGGGGGTGACCAGTCTTCGCTTTATATTTCTTTCCGCAGCTGCACGGGATAGCGTACACGCAGTCTTTAGTCATGTTCTCCTCTATGGGGGGGTGTCTTACTCGGGAAAGTTATCTGCGAAGTGTCGTCCAGCTTTTGAAGTTTGTCTTGATGTTATATGGACCGCAGATCCTTTGTATTTTCCCTGATAACCCCTTCACATAAGGCAGGCAGACTGTTTTCTGAGTGTTGTTCTCCTCTTGTACTCGCCTATCCCAGTTTTTGGGGGCTGCTGCCATGTACCCAGTATAGTTGTTACGTTGTAGGGTACTACTTATACTGACCAATTCTTTATCTAATGTCTCTGGGTCGCTACTTATGACTTTTGCTCGGTGTTGTAAGCAGCGGATGATCCCTTTCTTTACGCTGTATGGATGGTGGGAGTTGAAATTGAGGTACTGTCCAGTGAACGTCGGTTTACGGTATACTGTATATGAATATCTTGAACCCACGCACTGTTCGAGATATTAGAACATCCAGGAATGGGAGCCTGTTGTTACTCTCTTTCTCCATTGTGAACTGTATCGAAGGTCTTATTGAGTTCTCATGGTCTAGTAGAACCTGAACATATTGGTGTGTCCAGAGTATAAAGGTGTCATCTACGTATCTTAATCCTAGAGTTGGCTTTAGGGATATAGATTCTAATGTTTTTCCTCAAGGTATTCCATGTATATATTCGCCATTTCTGGTGATAATGGCGAGCCCATTGCTAAGCCCTCATTCTGTCCATATATGTGTGATCCCATTCCGAAGTGTGCTGTTTGTGTACAAAAATCAACATCTCCATCAGATTATCTATTTGAATACTGGTCCGTTCTTCTAGAGATGAGTCAGAGGCCAGTCTGTCTCTGACAACTAAGAGTCTTTCCTCCGTGGGTACCTTGGTAAACAAACTCACCACGTCCAAGCTAACCATCTAGCAAGTTATCCATCTTCTCGCACCACTTTTTATCAATCCAATGCGACAGCAATTATAAACACGTAAAACTTCCTCTACTGCCCGGAAACAAATAATTCAGCTGTTTTGAATCTCAAGAAAACGCAAGATGAAAATTATCTGCTCGTGATCAAGTACACATTCTATTTTTTTTAAATCTTTTCAGTCCAAGGCAATAAAGTCACCGAGACGGAATGACTTACTGACTGTTTAAAGAATACGAGAGAAATACAATATAAATGAGGGAAGACAATAAAAGAAAAAGAATTAAAAAGACAGAAGATAACATTTGCATTGCATTTATTTTTTTCAAGATCACAGTTGACTGAGATCAACGAAGCCGGGACAAATTTTCACAAGCGGGAAGGACGATAGAAGAAACTGTTACCATAGAACTTACGGTTACATCAGATCATTTCGCCTGTAAAATGATGAGACATTTCCGCTTATCTAGTACTGCGCTTGAATTCGTAAAGTATAGGTAATATTGAGCGACAGTTGCCATGAAAGTATTTTAAGAAAAGACAGAAGAAAGCTACGTTACGGCCGTGGTGATAAGTGACCGAAGCCGAAGTTCCAGATAATGACTAATAACATGGCAGGTTTTTTTTTGGGGGGGGGATTTTATCAAGAATCTTTAAAATATATAAGAGTGTAGTTTAAATGAGTCTCTATTACTACGACGTCACTTGTACAAATCCAGATATCCCTAGTTCAATTCTTGCTTTCCGCACACTTCACAAGGTAAATCCGAGTTTTCTTCTTACGTTTTCACTGCTTCAGCCCTCTTTAATTAGGTCAACACCGCGTTCGACCAACCAATCAGCGTTCTTCGCTTTTATTCTCAGTTACCCAGGCAAATAGCCTCCTCCAGTTCGACCAATCAGCACACGACTTGCTATTAGTGGAAGCATGCCAAACTGTACAAAAAAAAAACCTCATTACTGCACATACTGCTACAATTACTAGACAAGAGAG